TGGAGAAGGGTTTCATATAGGAAAGTGGAAGCCAGCAGTCCTTCAAGAGTAGGCCCAAAGCACTGTTTTGGAATCATTTTTGAAGCCATACAAAATACTGTGCTGAACTGGAGAGCTTTTGATGTAGTCCAACAGAGCTGGATGTTTGTATGGTGGCCAATAAAAACCTGCAGATTAATTTTTTTAGGAGATTAAAATTAGGAGATTTTAGGAGATGCTTAATCCTAATAATATAAGCAACCCCCTTAAGAGAATTATCAGAGCACTTCATATCCTGTAAGAAAACAGATTAGAGATCAGTTTGCATTTCCTGTGTTTGTTATTTAAACGTGAAACCTATATAGTAAGGAATTCCTCTCATATGATTGTTTGTGGAATGATCTCCAGCACCAGTGAATTGCAAACCCCAAACTATTCAGAGCATGATTCCATCCCCCCCCCCCACCTTGGGGTCAGGCATTCCACACTATCCCCTCAAAAAAAAAAAAAGCTTCAGGACTATGCTCTGGGAGAGAGCCAATTTATTTATTTAATTTTCTGTGCAGATAAATTTTCCTCGGGGACAAAATCCACAACAACTATGAACTATGGAAGCCAGTCTAGTGAAAGGTGAGCATTCTTGGATTTGCAAGTATCTGCTCATTGGGTTTTATTGTAATAAAGACACAGCATGGACATGCCCTTGGATGGAATAAACATTGGGCATTTCCCCACTGCTGACCTGCAGAAAAACTGCACCACTATGAAATGTTGTCCCCATTGCCTATTCTGCCATATTCTGCCCTTTTTTGCACTCATTGCAGTACCCTAACTTCCCACCAAGGTAATGGGTGATGAAGCATAATAGATTTTACACACTTTGAAGCTGCCCTTGGATGGTGTTAAAGTAAGAAGGGAAACATGACTTCAACATCAGTACAGCTAAGAACGCTTAAGCCTGTCTCACTCAGAAGCAGGGGATGAAATAGATGCCATGTCATGGGGATATGGCACAAAAAGATGGTTACAAGGCAGTAGTATGTGCCAAGATGAAACTAAACTGATGACACAGGTGTGGTAACAACACCATGCAATGCCAGTCATAAAATTTGCATGATGGCATCCTAGTGCATATGTTGTCATTTGCCCTCTGCTTTCACTCCCTGAAAATGCCATGTGCCAAGAAATGTTTGTGCTATGGTTAGGGGCCAACGGGGAAAGGCTCACTGATTTGGATTAATCATGGTTTATTGACTAAACTATATTTGGCTGGATTTTCACATCACATTAAACTATCATGTAGGGAATGGTTTAGCACAATTTTTTTAATTAGGAAAAACATAAATGGGAAGCTAGCATGTTATAGAGCAAAGCTCCAGCCCCAAGTATAACCTTTATTTCCAAGAATGCCTCTGGGCCCTAGATATAAATAAATAATAAAACAGAAAATAAAAATGATAAGAATTGCACCCCATTCAGGTATAACTTCAGTATTTTTTTTTACTATGCACATCTACCTTGGCTGCTGTGTTCAGAGAATGCCCATGACATGCTCTTAAAATTTCAGATATGCCCACTGGTCCAAAATGTGTGTATGAAGGGTACCTGATTTAGCATACTATATGAACCCAGCTATAGCATCTCTTTTGGAGAACCCAGTGGGCCAATCCTTTGTAATTGTTTTTCTTCTGAAGTGTATTTTTTCTCTTTTGGGGGGCAGTGTCACCACAAGCCAGCAGACCCAGGCTTCAAAGTCCCAATCTCCATCTTCTTCAGTCCATCGACAAGTGGAAAAGCGAAGGGAGTTGGTGAGATCTCAGACCCTGCCTCGGACCTCAGAAACACAATCTAGGAGAGCGCTCTTTGAGAAGTTCGAACAGGAGAGTGGAAAGTAGGTTGCTCCCTTTGGGGCCAGTTCAACTTTCAGAGGGTTGGTTCATGGAAGACCTGAAGGGGATCTAAAACAGCTGCCTCAAATCAGGTCACAATGTCTAACTTAGTGGTTTGGACTTCCTTGTCTGTAGGAACAAATTTGGCTGCCATAGGCTCTATTCTGGTAAAAACACATCAGCTTAGAAGAATATAAAATTGGCTAATCCTCAGTATAATATAAAGTTCCTACATTAGTTGTGATAGTTAACTTAGGCAGCATCTTTAGTTGACACAAAACAGCACAAATCATTGTAATGTTCTGTAACAGGCATGCAGAAAAAAAGGACTGAAAATGAAAAAAAAAACCATTTGTTTTATCTATGCAAATTCAGGGGAGAAGTTGAATAGGGGAGAAGGGTTTCATATAGGAAAGTGGAAGCCAGCAGTCCTTGAGATTTCTGATGTTCATCACATACACAGGAAAACAATATTCAAGTGTCTTCCCTAGCCCTGAAACAGACAGTTCCTCTGTGATGGAATAGAAAAATTATGGGTAAAGGTTGAGTTTTTTTGAAGAAGCCGGTTTTTCCATTTAAAGTGCTACCTCTATAGATGACAGTATCTATTTCTTCTCCCTGGGTCCCTTGTTTGTCCAGGGGGAAAGGTATGGGCCGGGCCAAACTCAAGAGATCCCAGAGTTTTGCAGTGGCCAGTGCCAGCAGCATCAAGCAAATCCTCTTGGACTGGTGCCGTTCCAAAACTATCGGCTACAAGGTAGGTAAGGAATTCTGCAAACTGCATCCCTTTCCCCCTGCTTCATTAGAACATCTGGTGGACCCGTATGAAATAGTGCAACTTCTGGTTCCTCAGAGATACTTAAGTTCAGGCTTCTTGATCTCTACCCCAATTCTGTCAGATCCTTATCCTGAATTACAGTGCTTGCATTCTCCTTCTTCTCCCCTGCCACTCTACCCTACCCCCCCAGCACGTAGATCTGCAGAACTTCTCCTCTAGCTGGAGCGATGGGATGGCCTTCTGTGCACTGGTACACTCCTTCTTCCCTGAAGCATTTGAATACCACACTTTGGATCCCACCAAACGCAAGGAGAACTTTGAACTGGCATTCACAACAGCCGAGTAAGTAGGGGTACTACCACCTTGGGTTGCCTGCTGCAGATTTTTTTGCAAATTTGTACTTGTTGCACAGAGCTCTTAACTTTCCTCCATGAAGAAAGCTACACCTTTAATTCCATGCCTGACAATGAGAAACATGAGGAAATGAGTTTTGAAGGAAAGTTTTGTGAGGTGGTGGGTTGGTAACGATCCCCTGGAATGATGGTTTTCCTTCATTTTCCCAGTTTCCAATTTTTCTTCTAAGGTTGCCTTCCTTCCTAAATGTGACGTCTTTGCCTCCCCTTGCAGAAAAATGGCCAGCTGTGACCGCTTGATTGAAGTGGAGGACATGATGCTGATGGGCCGCAAGCCAGACCCCATGTGTGTCTTTACATATGTGCAAGCTCTCTACAATCACCTTCGGCGCTTTCAATGAATCCAGGACTGGCTGCCTTGCCCCAAGAGGGCTGTGACTCTTAGAATGGGACTGTTCCACAGCTGCTTTTGTGCTAATGTTTGGTGCTGCTACACAGCTGCTTGCATCCCTGCCGAGGGAAGTCCCAGGCCACTGGACACAACCACAAGCCAAAGAGAAAGAAAAGATGAAAACGGTCATAGTTCCAGGGCAGCTAGAGTTCTTGCTGAAAAATGATAGAAGGCCAGCAGTTCCTTCCTTGTTCTCTCTAGGCAGCTGTGAATAGAGATTCTTGTTCCAAGAATGTCCTTTTAACGATATGTGCAAGCTGATTTGACCAAACTGACCTATATGGATAATTCAAGCATGATTCCCTCTCTTTCCCTCTTTTCCTTCCATAGATGTCTCTCAGAAGTCTATCTGCCATGTCTACTATTTATGGACAGCTATACCATTAGTTGCTTTGTATTACATCCCCCTCCTTTTCCCTGATTCCACTTTCTTATGCTCTGGAATTCACCTGGGATAGATTAATGCCTAGAGACAGATTCCAGTGTGGATAGTTTGAAGGCTAAGTTCTGCCATGGGCAAATTCTCCTGATCCCAGGGGCTTCTTGAGTACTAGTGGAGCTCAGCCTATTTCCAAAGGTTGCAGTATCGAAATCTGTTTTCCTTCAAACCAAAACACTTGCTTGTGCATTAAAAAAAAGGCTCTTGCAATAATGGAGTACAATAACCTGCATGGCCACCACTGACCCTTTACCACTCCTTGCTCCAGCATTACTTTCCCCCAGCATATGTTACTCTCACCTCAAGCTGCATGCTCAATCCTGCTTTGGACCCATCTGAAACTGGGTTCAAGATCCCAGATGTGAAGGAAATGAAGACCCAATCAGGCGGTGTTATCTGATACTGGAGCAGGTATTGGCAACCATGTGAGAGATACCAGACTTAACGTTTGAGGGAGTAGGGAAAAGAAAGGCCATGTGAAAGGTTCAGTGAACGGCCACATAGAAAGACACAGTGAGGCAAACTGGATGGGGGAGAACTTCTATATTTTTTTCTAGTTGTGGGGGGAGTTTATTTTTAAAAACTGTATTAAGCCTGTTACAGGCATACATTATGATTTTTGTGTTTCCCTGACAGTTTTCATCAAATGTAGTAGGAGTGGGCTCTGAGGGGTGCAGAAAAGAGAGTTGTATCCCTGAGCCCTGAGGTTGCTTACTCCTGCAAAAGAGCAAGAATACTTTCCCCAAATAGCCAAGGTGATGCACAAGGACCATGTGCAGGGATGCTCTTATGGGCAGATTGCTGAAATTCTGCATAATACTCACATACCTTAGTCCTCTGATCTTGAAAGAATGAGGAGAGTGGGGCTTGCTTTTTGTAACATACATCAGACCCCCAGGAGGTGATTGCCAGAAAGGAAACTGGTCATAGCAAGAGTCCCACTGAGTCTAAAATGGGTTGTATTCGAAGTAACTCCTGCCAGATACATCAATCCTGGTGCATGCTGGCTGTGAATTCTGGGCGCCATCAGATTGGGAAGGGTCATCCTAGAAGCATTTGCTCTGGTATGGGGGAGAATGGTGTTCAGTAATACAAGGAAAAGGCTCCAGATCTTCCGGGACTATCATGGCTAAAATGGAGTTATGGTTCAGGTTATCCTGGGCTGGGGAAAGTGTTTACATCCATCCTTAGGAAGCTATGTTGTACTTAAACCACCCCATTAGAAAAACGGCCAGCTATGGTGCAGCACACTTCTTTCTTTCTTTTTTTTATAAGAAATTATATTAAGAATACAATTAAAAACAAAAAAGAGAATACAGTAAAGATAGAAAATAGAACTAAAAGAAAAAAACCTAAAATAGTGAAGATAGAATAGAATGGAAAGTGACTTCCGAGTATCTCCCATACAGATATAAATACAAATTAAAAAAAATCTCTTACCACTAGTTAATCCAAATTCACATTATTTCTATCAACACAAACCACTTAATTATTAAAACCCACAATCAACACTTTCGCCCCCCCCACAAGCATGTAATCTAAGAAGGGTTGCCATAAGGAGACGAACTTAAACAATATCTCGTATTAATACTATTAATTTTGCCATTTAAACCAAGTCCATTAGATAATCCATTCTTCTGCTG